GCATGGTGGTTAACTACCAAGCCCTCAATGAGCTTACGGTAGTACCTGACTTCCCCTTACCTCCGGTCCAAACGATCTTGGAGATGTTGGGCGGCGCCAAGTATTTCTCCACTCTCGACTTAGAGGCAGACTTCCACCAGATCCTCATGGCCAAAGAGGATCGCTGGAAAACAGCCTTCCGTTCAGTCATGGGCCTGTTCGAATACAAAGTCATGCCGTTCGGCCTGAAGGGTGCTCCCGCTACCTTCAAGCAAACAAAAATGCCTACTTACAACCCTTGCTAGGTCATGGAGAGATTGCATACCTTGATGATGTTCGCATATATTGAGCTGATCTACCTCCTCATGTCGTTCTCCTACGAAAGGTGTTAAGCATCTTTCTCACCAATCGATTCTACCCGAAATTTCGCAAGTGCCAGTTCGCGCGCCAAGAGCTCACGTATTTGGGATGCACCATCAGTGCAGACGGAATAAAACCTGCAGCCGGCAAGATCGAAGCAATCCGGGTGTGGCCAGAGGTGCTGGAGAATGAAACGCAAGTACGCCAGTTCCTTGGTACTGTTAATTACTGTCGTATGTTTATGGGTCCCGATTATGCAGACATTTCCTGCCCCCTGGTTACCCTGACTCGCAAAGACACCCCCTTTCATTGGACAGACGCACACACCCAGGTGGTTCGCCAACTCAAGCAACGTCTCATTGACTACACCACCCTTCAGGCCCCCGACACTTCTAAGCCTTTTCAGCTCTACACAGATGCCTCCGGCTACGCCATTGGTGGCGTACTCGAACAAGCTGGATAGCCAATAGAATTCCTCAGTCAGGCCATGACTCCCGTGCAACAGAAATATTCCATCTACGACCAGAAACTGTTGGCACTAGTCACAGCCCTCGACAAGTGGTCTCACCTACTTCGCGTCGCTAAGGTTACAGCATTCGCGGACCATCAAGCCCTCACCCACTTACGGAAGCTCCAGACGTCCAGGCCCTTGCGGGGACGCACCTCCCGGTGGTTAGATTTCCTCGCGGAGTTTCCTGATCTCACTATCACCTATCTCCAGGGTGCGCGTAATACGGTGGCCGACGCGCTGTCGCGTCTTCCTTGTCATTCCTCTTCACACCCGTTCTCCCCGCCCAGCCCATCTTCGCCTCCTCTCTCGGGGTCCTTGGCCCCGCTTATGTTATCTCCTGCACACCCGGATCCAGCTCCTCATCCCCGGGGGAAGCAGGCCAACTCCCGGCGGTCGGCTAGCACTCGTCGTCGCCTGCCTCGGCCTCGTCCGCAGTCCCCTCCCGTTTCGCTCAAGGCCAACGAGTCCCCTCCTGACGGCACCGGGCCATCCGCCATCTTCCCCGTGCAGCCCGCCGATTCCGCAACCCTGGATTGGCCAGCAGCTTATGCGAAGTGTCCCGCTTTCCGGGTCCCCTACAGCATGGCGGTTAAGGCAGTCGGTGCACCCGTCCAAGTGGAATTCCGCAGTCGTCTCCTAGCCTTCAGATTTGTCACCCCTTTCCTCAGCGTTTGCATACACGGCTTATGGCGTATATGTGTTCCGCAGTTTCCTGAGTTCCCTACACACATTCTATATAACCACCACGATCACGTAACAGCAGGGAATCGGGGTCAGAAGAAAACGTTCTTATCTCTCAGCAAGCTTTACTATTGGCCCGGTATGCGCACTTACACCAACGCCTACGTGGAGTCCTGTACGCAGTGCGGCGCCTCCAAGTCCCTCAACCGAAAGCCTCCCGGCCTTCTCCAACAGTTAATTATTCCCTCCCGTCGTTGGAGCCACGTCAGCTTGGATTTCATTACCGACCTCCCGCTTACGAAGGCGGGGCATGGATCTATCCTAGTGTTGGTTGACTCCCTTAGCAAGATGGCCCACTTCGTCCCCGCCAAAAAGACATTCACAGCCGCAGATACCGTCGATGTTCTCGCCGATCGCCTTATTCGTTATCATGGGCTACCCGACGCCCTCATTTCGGACCATGATCCCCGTTTCCAATCATATCTATGCCAGCAGCTGTGCAGCTGCGCTCAGCTGCTTGTTAATGGAAGCGTAGGAGGCGTGAGAGCCAAGAATGATTGAAACTTGGACGGCTCCCGTTGCAGTTGTTGGTGCTGCTGCTGCTGCGCGCTGCGCCTTTACGAGCAACAGCAATCCGATGAGCGTTGCCTGCAAACCCAGCAGCAGCACGAGAATCAGAGGCACAAGCCACACCAGTAGCAAGTAAAGCACCAAAAGACGCAGCAGCGTGTGCCGCAGTGAAATAAGTAGCAGTATGCGTAGCTGTAAAAGCAGCGTCCTAAGCAACAAACACTAATCAAAGCCCACATGACATTCAAGCAACACAGGGTTGTCGTAAGGTGTGCAGGCAGCAGTAGAAGCAGCAACAGCAGCGCCAAAAAAAAGAGTGAAATCTTTCACTTGAGCGCAATGAGGTATTGTCGCAGGCAAGCCTCCCATCCTTTTCCAGTGCTGCATCGGCAGCTGCTGCTGGTGCTGTTGGTGCTGCATGCAGGAGCAACTGCTGCCTTTGGCATTGGCTGAGCCGCCGCTGCTGCTGTTGCCATCGTTGCTGTAGCAGGAGCACCGCACTTTGACGTACTCCGGAAGCACCACCATCATTTATTTCAGGGTGTACGGGTGTTCACAACCATCTATACGCCTCTCCGCTGCATACACCTCCTGTAGCGCAAAACAGGGGCTACGGCACGCGCAGCTGCAGCAGCAGCTGCTGCTGTAGCGCTAGCTGCTGCGATAGCGTCGCTCCAGGGGTGTCAGTAGCAGCAAAAGGGTCATCTGCCGCAGTATGAGCAAATGCAGAAGCAGCAGCAGCAACTACTGCTCCTGCTTCAGCGGCACGAACCGTCTTGTTGCAGCGGCCGCTGCCAGTCTAACCCCCTGTGAACTGCAGCGTATCGAAGTGTACCTGTGCGGCCAAAATCTGATTGATCATAGACGACCGCGCTTGTCTATGATCAATCAGATGCACTGTGTTGTTGTTGCTACTCCTACCACTGTTGCAGCTGTTTTTGCTGCCGCTGTTGCTGCTGCAGTCTCTGATGTCGGTACAGCAGGTGGTGGCTTTGCTGCAGTCGGCAGCAGAATGTGGAATATCTGAAAGCAGCTCGTTGGCAGCCGCAGGCGCTGCTGCTGCTGTTGTTGCCGCAAGCGCTTCGGACGCTTGACGTACTTCTTTTGTCTGACCTGCCGCTGCAGTTTCTGCTGGATGTGGGTGGTTTTCTGTCGCGTTCGGTGCCTGTTCAGCTGCAGAAGTTGTTGTTGTTGCCAGAGGAGTTAGGTGGGGCTGGGGACATGGCTCGTAGGTGTACGCAGCAAGGATAGAGTTAGGGCTCATGGGTTGACTGTTTTTCGGCAGCTGCATGCACTCCTCCAGCAGAGGGGTCTTTTTCTAGCTGCTGCCAGAGCAGATCCTTGTTGACCAGCCAACGCCGACTACGGAACACCTCGGGCAGGCGCAGTCCAGCGTGCCGCAGCTGCTGCTGCTCTTGCTGCAAGAAAGGGCTCCACTGGGGTTTAGAAAAGCGCAAAGATGCGAAAACGTCTGGAGTGTATCGACTGCCTAAGAAGGCCTCGTGCACCCGCTGCACCTGACGGGTTGGATTATTACCTTCGGCCGTCATTTTCCCTCATTTCTTTCTGCTTCATCTTGTCTACATATCTTCTGCCTCCAAAACTCAGGAAGATATGTGGAGGAACTGGTAAGAGAAACTGGGGGCACCTGCTGACGCATGCAAGTGGCTGAGGGAAGCACGCAAGATGGGATCATCATCAGCACCACCTGGGTGGCACACTACGACGGAGGGAATTATTACCTGTTGGTTCCTTGTTGGCATTTAAACGATTTTACACAGTCAAAGACAATAGAGGAACAAGATGAACCCCCACATTTTAGCTGTATTCTTACCTCAGCCCACAACGTGACCACTGGCTAAAACAGCATCGGTCGCACTGTGCGTCTGCTTCTCCCTGCTAAATAGCTACCACCAAAGTGCATCACTGACGATAATGACGTTGTCATGGCAACTGGGGACTGGAGGGGAGGGAATTATCTGCTCTTAGTGGAAAAATCAATAGAAGCTTGTGGCTTGGTGTAGCTCGCTGCTGTCTTTAGCTAATATTGAAAGACTCGCGTCAGTGTGAGCAACGCTTTATGCTGAGCCCAATCAATTAACCCGTCCTGGAGGGTTTCGGCGCGGAGAGAGACCCATGGGAAGGAAACGCCGCGTCTCAAAGCAGGCGCTGCTCTTGCTGCTGCTGCTGTTACTACTACTACTACTTCTACTGCTACTGCTAGTGCAAGAGGACTTGGGCAGGGCCTCAAATTGCAGTGTCCCTCCTAACGTTCTGAAGACGGCTGCGGCTCCTGGAGGTCCTCCACGACCCACCTAGTGCTTGCAAATACAGCCTAGAATTCACGCGCTATTTAATTTCTTCTTGAGTTCAACTCGTTAGCAAGAACAGAGATGGCTCCCTTCCCCACTACACTGGGCGCACCGAGGCGGCGTCATCTACAGACCTAAGTGGGTACATTAGAACGGCACGGATGGGCATCATCCGAATGGGCATCATCCGAACTCTGGCTACTGCACCATGCTTCCACCTTAAACTACTATTTATTATTACACTCGTAGTTTCGAACGTATTTTAGCTGTTCCTTCCTGCGGCCCGAGGTACGGGAAAGGCGCTCCTGTATGGCACTAAAAATCTTATCTACAGTTTCTACCTGTCAAGGATCCAAGGCTGGGATGGGAATCTTTGCCAATCTGCAGCCGGCCGGTGTTGTCTGCTCGCAATAAGCATCACATTAGCAACAGAGGTTCCTGTGCTCCGTAGCAGTCTCCTCAAGAGCATCCGTAAAAGTTATTCTTTCTCGTTGGTCATGCCATCCTCCAATTCCATGTGGAATTATGTTGTTAGTGGTTAAAGGCAAGCAGCCGCACACTTTTACCCTGTTTTAGACGTGGTAGGTCTCCAAAACCATCGCGAGATTCACGACGCTGCTGTTGCGACTGCACTTTGCAGTGGGCCTGGCAGCAAAGGTGTGTGTGCCGCATTTTGCTTCTTTTTGCCACTTTTCGACTACTTGGGGCGGCAGAGATTGGTTGTTGTTGCCATCCAAGCGACGTGCAGTTTCCAGCTACCACCAGCTTTCTGATCCATGTGATTTGTTGTTCTCGACAGTCTACAGAAGACTGAATCAACAGTTTGTGCCCTGACGTGATTCAAGAAAGCTTTAGGCTGCATACCTGGGTTCGTGGTAGCTTCACACCCCGTGCAGTGCTCTTTAATTGCTGCCCGGGCAGCTGCTTCTGAATAGCACTAAAATCTTGTTGCTCCTTTTTAACTAGATACATCTCATGCTCGTTTATGGGTGGTTGCCTGCATTTGGCCTACTCCGCGACAGGCGATGTTGGTGTAATTGTACCCTCTCCGCTTCGTAAAACTTGAAGGAAACAATTAAGTAAAGTTTAGATCCTGCGGAATTTCAATTGTCTGTCTATCTTGCAGGTGCACTTGCAACTGGTGCGGTGAATGTTGCTGCCGCTGTTGCTGCTGCGGGCGCTGCTGCTGCTTATGCTGCTGCTGCCGAAGCAGCTGCTGGGTGGTGCTGTTGATGTTGTCGCGGTTGTGGCTGCTGCTGCTTCTTTCCCCTTTGCCGTTTTGCTAGCTGTGGATGGCTTTGAGGGCTACCTCGGTGCAGGCCCTAGTTTGGGGTGTATTGAGGGGTGTGAGGAAGTGGCACCTTTTGTTCCCTCCCGAGTTGCTCTTTGTACAACTCCTGAAGCGCGCATGAGTGGCAGCTTTGGGATGTCCCAGGAAAACGCAGACGTCGAGAAGAAGTGCTTGTATTTCCTCTATTGCCTATTGGAGCCTTCTGGGGGGGTGATAGGTGAGCTGCAAGTGCAGTAGCAACTCACTAGCTGCTGCTTCTCTAGGCGCCGCAAATGACCATTTTCGCTAGCGATAAACCGGCACAAGCCGCCAAGAAAGCATTTGTTCTCGTTACAATGGCAGGGTTTTAGGGTTTAGGGTTTAGGGTTTAGGGTTTAGGGTTTTAGGGTTTAGGGTTTAGGGTTTAGGGTTTAGGGTTTAGGGTTTAGGGTTTAGGGTTAGATCGGAA